AAGCCGCCCACGAGCTCATTTTTCACGAGCCGAGTCAGCTCGGCCCAATTGACATCCCTAGGTTATGTAATCAATAGAGTGAGAATGTTGGGGAGGAAAGTTTGGATCAGAGTTTTTGTTTTTGTTTTTGTTTTTGTTTTTTTTTTTGGGATACCCAATTTAAAAAATACCTCTTGACACTTGAATTAAAATATACTTTATGAAAATATCTTATTTTTAAATTTTAGAACATAAATACATGAATGGGCCTAATTTCCTCTTCAAAAAATGCCTGATTTTTCAAATTAATTTTTAACGAGCCGATTTTCTAAAATAGAAAATAGAAAGTAGGTTTGAGAATTCTTTTTCATAACTGAATGTTTCTCGACATAGATCGAGAGTCTCAACCAACATCTATAGTTTTTCTATATAATTAGAGGAAGAGGAAAATGAACATAAATAATAAGCAGCTGCTAAATCGATTAGTTGCATATTTAGCTTAGCTTAAAAGTTACTTCTTTCAAATTTTAAGCTGGCATACACAGACATAGTGTCAAAATAAGCTGGAAATTTTTTGCATTTTTCTTTTAAAAGAGTAACATTGATCTTTTTATGAACCATGCTACACAAATAGGGAGCCTGATAGTCTGTCAGCCTCCTTGACAGAGACCCCCCAAATAAGGAAGAGGAATAATTTTTTATTCAAGCGAGACCCATGACATATGGGAAGCGATCATCCCTTTTATCAACTATTTTCGATCACTTTAACATTTTCCTTTTTTTTATAGTGAGAAGATCCACAAAGTCAACCTAATTTAGTAGCCATCTTTTTAGCCCCCCGTTTGACCCCTATTACCTGAAAATGAAAATGGGAGGAGTAATATTTTTTAGAAAAATGAGTGATTGTAAAAGAAGAAAATATTTTCGATTTACGTATAATATTATTTTATGGAAGATTGTGTGATTGAAAATAAGAGAGAGAAAAATGAAATATCATGTAATTGAATTTAATGAGGATCAAAGGGAGGTTTATATTGTTTTCCAGCTATCACATAGAATCTTAAAAAGGTTCTAAAACCCAATGAAAAGTCACAAAACAATGACTCAATTCCGACTATTAGTTTATTGGCTTTATTGAAAATGTGGCATGTATTTACAATGATAGGACTACTCAATATAATTGACAATTCTCATCGTATATTTTTTAATTTTTTAATTGTATTTCTTTAATATTATAAACGTACACACGAATCATATTCGACCCAATCATTGATACGTTAAAATACTATTATGGGACATGATGACTTCTACATGACTAAGAATTTAAATAATAAAACCACTTGTACAATATATTTTCACAATTTGACTGACAATAAGTTTGTTGAAAAAATCATGATCATTGATTTTAAAAATAGTTTTTCAAATAGATGGATGTGATATTTGACAACTCCTGCATTGTAAAAAAAGTTGTAAAATACATTGTACAAGTGGCATGAATGAAATTTAAAAGTTGAAACACATTACGAGTTTTTACCATGCATTGCATTCATACATGTCATATAGTATAATATGACGACACAACTTAACATTTTTCATTAAATCACCTTCGTTTCCCTTGAACTCAAGTGAATGATACATGCTGAAGGGTAAACAATCTCGATGTCACTTTTTTCGTGAGCGGGCTTGTTTGGACTCGTGGACCGACTCTTTTTTTGGCCAATTTTTTTGACTTACTTTATTATATACTTTTTTTTGGACTTATTTTTATTTTTTACAAAAATAAAAATACAAAAAAACAAATGGCCCCTACTCGATCCATGAGGTCCACGAGCTAAATGACTGAGCCGAAAATTTGGACACCAATCGAGCTCAGCTCTTCTCGAAAGTCGGGTGGAACTCAAATGTTTAAGAATTATTCCGCAGGTACATAATTTTTTATCAGATTTTATACAAAGAGATAGTTGTTTTCTTGTTATTTGCTATTGCCAAAAGCTATTTTTGACAGCAACCAATCCCTGCAAGACAGCTATGTTTTCTGTATAAAATCTGTTAAAAAAATCTATACTTGTAACATTTCTCAATGTTTAAAGTTAAACTGGATTAGTTTGATTCATTGTCACCCCTATTTCGAGTCATGTGATTCAGCGATTGTCTCCATCGCTGCCGAATCAGCAGATTTTGGAGGGGCAATGTATAGGGATCCTTTAACTTTTTGTAACATGGATTTAGGTTGTTTTCTGTCAGAAGAAAGAAACAAAGAGACGAAATTAAATGAAGAAATGACGTGGAGCTTAGTCAATAAAATCCAATACTTATCCATTTTGTTTTTCAAATCCAATCGTAGGATGTAACATGATAATAATCACGCTACTGATAGCGCGTCAAAACACCTCCTATTAAATAAATATATTTGTTTCCAATTTATTTACGAGCCTATAAATTTCAATTCCTCTTTAATTGAAGTATAAAAAATAGGATTATTCTATGTGTACACTTTATCGTGTATACAATAGATTACACCTCCCTCACATGAAGGGCGGCTCACAAATATTTTATTGTACGTGGACCCCTTTCCATGTGAGGGGGTGTAATGCTTTGTGTGCATATAGCACAATCCTTAAAAATATAGAGTTTGTTTGTTAAGGTAATATAAAACAAGAAAATTTGAATTGACCAGTAAATTTAACTATTAAATTGATTTTCAAACTCGAAAACTTAATATAACTCAATCATTGGTTCTTTTCTTTATTAGTTCTACATATTGTTCCATTAAAATGAAAATTTGTTGTTCGGTCCAAATGTGTATAAACTGTGTTCGCATTCGAATTTACCTGGGTGGTGAGCCAGGGAAGAAGGCCACTACTCCTCAGAATTAGTCAGGTGAAACTTAGCCACCTAAGTTATCAAAAAAATAGAATAAAATTAAATTAAATTTTGTTGATTATAAGCTGTCGAAAGTAATTTCATAATTTCACCTCAAAAAGCATCAATGTGCCAAAATAAAGTTAGTATCACTTCATAGTGTTAACCCAAACCTCGAGTTCTGGATTTTAGCTCTCTATCATGATTCAAGACCCATTTTTGTTCCAGGTTAACCTAAGGGCTTCCAAAAGTGGAATAAGCGTTAGCAGTGCATTCGATTGGTTCAATATTAATGAATCTTGAAAAGATGGTTGAAGGTTGAAACGAATGTATAACAAGAATTCTTAGAATACCATGAAGCTTCTGGATAAGTATGGGTGTCATTTAACCTGCCAGAGTCAAATCGTTGAAGAGGTATTCTTCCTTTTTGAAATTTCAAGGATAGTAAAGGTGTATAAATGCTCGCTCAATGACAATAACTTTAATTGTCTTGATTGAATGTAGAATAATGTAGAAAAACAAATTTGAACTACAATGAAATTAATTGATGGTTAAGTCACATGTTATAATGTTGAAGCACAATTAACACTAAATATTATGGCGGAGATGTGACATTGTTATGAATAGATGAACCTAATTTGAATAGCATATTATTATTAATTTATTATCTAGCTTTTATATCATGAATTAAACTATTATGAGAGATTTTTTCAAAATTACAAATATATATTGGTAAACTATGTTTTGAGATATTCAATTATCATTATCTATATTCTAAAAGATATATGATACCATGTTCAATCTTGAAATTCGTTCGACACATATGATTAGCAACAAGAAAAATAAAGGCAATAGCATATATAAATGTGCGGTACATGAAGCCAAGATAGGGGGACATCTAGATTTTTAAGATCAAATATGATGTTGATGCATAAGGTAGTGTGCACATGTAGGTGTAATACTCTTGTCACGTCCTTTTTGATATGGGCGACCTTGGCAACAAATACCTTATCAAATGAACCCTACAACCAACTTTATCTTGTGTACCACATATAATTTGTGGACGACAAAAAGAAAGGACAAGGCCCATCGTGCTTTTCTACTATCTCTTTTAGGGACTCTTAAATGATGCAAAACTGATTGGGGCACATTTGAATAAGCGGTTTATTATCGAGCCATATTTTTTGAAATAACGAGAGTATTTCTCAATACTTAAAGTTCCATATTTGAAGTGAGTTTTTAAAAAAATTCTAATAAATTGGAGTACATATAAGATACAACAATGTTAAAAACTTTTTTGAATAAGTGGTTTATTATCGAGCCATATTTTTTGAAATAACAAGAGCATTTCATAATACTTAAAGTTTCATATTTGAAGTGAGTTTTTAAAAAACTTCTAATAAATAGGAGTACATATAAGATACACCAATGCTGAAAACTTTTTTCAAGATATCTTTCAAACGATTGGGATCATTTCTCTAGATTATGGGGATGGTAAAGCATGTCCAATGCAAATTTGCCTTTCACTCCCCCTTTTTTTTGGTCGTGGGCAAACCTTTTTTATAATTTGCTAATCTATACTACACGAATAAATTGGTGTGTACAGATTTGTGCTTCACCAAAAATGTACAGGGCACTCACAAACGCGTGAGTCCCACTTGAATAAATAATGGCCAAAATTTAACCCATCTCCCATGTAAGATGTCGGTAGGGGTTCTACCTATACACCAAGCAGGCTTCATACTACACACATTTACTTTAATGTTAAGCAAACAAAAAATGCAAATGTAATCTAGTATCGAAAACTAATTTATCCAATTTCTATTGGCTTAAATTTTCAGATTAACCTAATTTAACATGATATCAAAGCAAGCATCTTATGCATTGATACATAACATCATACTCATGCTCTACTAGACAACGTGGTTTAACAAGTAATTCGACCTAGCTCATCACCTAACAAATCGAATTCACGTACAAAATAAGATGGAATCGAAAGAGTGTAGAGGGGTGAATCCCACGCGTTTAGACATGGCAGTGGGATATATATTACTTTTTCATTTTCAAATCTTTTCGTTGTTCTTAATAATATCTTTTGCCATCAAATTTTGCTCCTTCGGAAAGCTGCCTCTGCAGTTGGTCGGTTACAAAGTTCGAATTCAGTCAAATCTCGATTACCACGTCACAGCTTTGTCAATTCTTTACAGGAAACCCATTTTTCCCTCCTTATAAAAACTATGGGCTGTAGAATTCTTAAGCACCAAATTTTGTTCATTACATGCGTGTATCTTCCAAAACAAACTGTAATTCATCCTTCAGAATTTGAAGTATTTCTAGTAAATATAAATGCCAATTTTCTTTTAATTGATAAATATCTAGTGATGTGATTTTTCTTGAAGAATTTGGGTTTCATTTTTCTCAATATTTGTTGCTGCAGTATAAAGAGGACAATTTCAAAGCTGAAAGCTGAAGAAAATGGCTTGTGAATTTGAAACTAATTCATCATTTCACAGACCTGATGTTTTTGATAAAGAGGATCATCTGCTTGATATTGATTCTGTGAATTATGGGTATGTCTAATTTCCTAATCATTTTTTTTTCCATTTTCCGTGCAAATTTCGATTTTTTATGCTACAGAATTTATAATTATAAGGTGTTAAAGATCGATTTATTGTTAGATGCAAGCATTACAGAAGAAGATGCAAGATCAGAGCCCCATGTTGCGACGAGACCTTTGATTGCAGGCATTGTCATAATGAAACTAAGGTGTGTGTTTCAATTCTTCGATTTATGTTTTAATTTGGGATGACTCGAGCAGCTAATTTTCTGTTTTCTTTTCGACAGAACACTCTTGAAATCGATCCACTTCATCGACACGATGTTCCACGCCATGAAGTTAAAACGGTTAGCCTTTTCTCCATGATAATTTAGCTTTCTTCGTGCAACTTGACAATTGTCCTAGTATTGGTCAGTAGTTGACCGTTGATTCGAGGGACGTTGAGAAATAATTTGTCTACTTGCAATGTATATTTTGTTGTTTGTATTTGCTGTGGGGGAAATAGAAGATCAACATTGCCGATGGATAACTGAAAAAGTATTCAAGCTTTGCTCCTTTTTTCTGCTTGAGAAAACGCATAAGAAAGGAAGGAGGAAATCGTGGTGCTTTCGGTTTGGTTTCCCCTACACTTTTCAATGCCAAAAGTAATTTTTATTTTCTTGATCTGGAATTGTTAGGCATTGTTGAGTCTAGTTTGCAGATAAGGTTAAATATCCAAGTTCTTTAACAATATCAGTTTCGAATAGAGTTGCGAAAAGGGATTCATGTAGATTAGAATACCCCCGGCATTTTCGATGCCGCTATTGAAATAGCCCTTTGTCAAGTATAGGCTTGGGATCATGTCTTCTTAGGATCTATTATCGTTCAAGTAACGGATTCTAGCGATTCCAAATTTATTGGGAGCAAGACTTAGTTTCTTGTTGCTTACTTATATTGTTTGATGTTAGAATTATGATATCTTTTTTTTGTTATGACCACTTAAATTCTTTTGCTTTCCTCTTATTTTCTCGTGATTTGTTTGATAGAATCCTCTATCTACAAAGTTACACAACCAGCTCGAGTTTTTCGTTGGTGTTTGGCTAATTTTCTCAGTTCATGTTTTCAGGTCATATGTTCCTTATGCGGCACAGAACAAGATGTATGTCCTGTAGTTTTGAAAGATTACATATTAAATTTAAGAGAGGATTTTTTTGGCCTGAAATATATTTGTTGTTGTCTGATCAGATTCAACAGAACTGCATAAATTGTGGCGTTTGCATGGGAAAGTATTTTTGCCAAAAATGCAAATTTTTTGATGATGATGTATGTTGTGTAGAATTTATTTTCACATTTTTTCACTGCCTATCTAATTTGCTCATATCAATGCTATTTCTTATCTGATTCACTGTCGTGATTAGGTCTCAAAGAAACAATACCACTGTGATGGATGTGGAATATGTAGGTACGTCTCTAAGCTCCCGATTGTCTACTATTTTTCATGTATTTCTCGTTCATTAAAGCATGCCATCCAATGCAAGTATGAAACTAAAGCCTTTCACCGAAGTTTACATGAATTTTTGAGATAATTCAGTTGGGCACTTCCTGAATTCTGGGCTCATGAAATAAATTTCTAAATTTAGTTTTGATGACTGCTTTTGCAGAACTGGAGGCAAGGAGAATTTCTTCCACTGTAACAAATGTGGTATGCTAAGATGATTCTTGTATCTCAATTTTCTTCCAAGGCTGTAATTTCCTTTATTTTGATGTTTGGAAATTTTCATAATTAACGGTCCCAGGATGTTGTTATTCGAATCTGATTAAGGATGCACATCATTGTGTGGAAAGAGCAATGCACCATAACTGTCCAGTTTGTTTTGAGGTAAACTAGGATTACTTGAGAATTACCATAAAATGGTGTTCACAAAATGTATACATTTATAAAGCGTTAGACTTTTTGCTTTTGAATGTGCAGTTTCTATTTGATACGATGAAAGACATTACTGTTTTACGTTGTGGGCATACTATACATTTGGAATGTGTCAAGGAGATGGAGCATCACCACCAGTAAGAACTCAAGGAACATGATAAAACATTTTGATTAATGTTACTTATATATAAGCAGTTACATAATAGTTTACATACAAATGCGGTGTCAAAAAGTAAGATGGGAAGAGTGTTTTTTTTCCTTCTAAAATTTGGTTGAAGAAATTCTGACTCAATCATATCTCATCCCATTATATGTATGTAAATCTTCCATGTACATGTAGCAGAACCAAAACATTTTCTTGCAATATAGCTAAATTCATGCGCTTCATTTTTAATTCTGCTTGTTTACCAAGAGTATTTGTGTTTTTTCTTTGGGATCTTTAGGTACTCGTGTCCTGTCTGC